AAGTAAGTGTATATAAGGTAGCATTTCCAAAAATGAAAAGAGGTGGGCAGGGTGCCACTGTATTTGATTTATTACATGGGTAATATCTTATCAAATAAAATATCTTATTTTATATTCTAGCTTGTCAATATCTGTAATTTGAGTTTCTAATTCGTATGAAACTATAGACTTAGTATTTTGACTTCACAAACATCTAGTGCTGCATTCAACATACCACGTGACACACAAAAATCGATGTTTATCTGTTTTTTAATATTTACGTTTAAATTAAGAAATTGAGTAATATATAGTACAAAAATTTGAATTATAATCTACAGTTTGATAACATACTTATTGACATAAATTCAAGAAATAGTAGTTCAATAAAATTTTGAGTCAACAAACGAGATGACATGGCCTTTCACCCTTGACCCGTCTCGAAAGGCTTGAATCTATGTAGTTATTACAACATTTTATTAATTTATTTTTTTAGTTTCCAATTCAGCACTTAAGTGTAAAGAAATTAGTGAAGTATAATCAAGTACTTTTCTCTCTCTCACACACTATTACCTGATTTGATTATGTTGAAGTCTGCAAACATTAGTGATCAAATGACTGTAGGATTAAGTAAAGTAGACAGTACGAAACAGGTTTAATTCAAATGTATTTTTCACATTCTTACTTATAATGATTAATACATGTTTTTGTTACATTAATTTATAAAGAGTGAGATTTACATTTTATATTATTTTGTTTATTATAATTAAACTGTCAATGTTATATAAAAATTTGAAATATTTTTTAAGTCCACAAAGCTCGAAGGAAATGGTATTAGCTTGAATCTTGAGAAGACTGATGTAGAAGAAAAACCTAAACCAGAAATATCCACCTGGTCAACATTGTTTGATTCTTCTGGGAATGAAAGTGGTTTTGGTTTTGGGCTAGACAGTATGGGCTTAGGCCGAAGTCTACGGGCTGCAATACCGAAGATGCCTTCTTTCAAGGTAATAATTGTATGATCTACCTGACATCTGTACTGATGCTCGAAAAGTATTTTAAGATAATAAAGAAAAGATGTTGATATTAAAAGTGGATTAAGTTGTATTTATAGTGTTTCGGTAAGGAAAACTTACTCCTTTGGAGAGTGTTACGTTATTGTGATGAAAATAGTGCAGGTCGTAAGCTTTTTCCTCCATCACCTACCTTGATTGATGTTATAAGGCTGGGTTTCCTTGTATCTGTCCATCCTGTTCTTCAAAATGCTTCGTAAACAGCCAAAAGCTTTTGTAATTTTTATCAAATTCGAACCAGCATCATGTAAAGATTCGACTATCAGAGGACGTTAATTGTCTCTGTTTTACGTGTTATTGGCAACATTAGTTGTATTGGACAGTTTTATTACAATAATAATAAAAAAAAAATTCATCCCTTATATACCTGCATGAAAAAATGAGATTGTGAAAATATGGAAGTGGTGACTAGTACAGAAGCTAAATCAGATCGTGCCTAATGGTGTTTTACTGCTTTGTGTATAGATTAAACATCTTGAAAAATCTACTGTGGCCATGTATTGCTTTTTGTCTTAAAATTATAAATTCATTGTGTACCATCTTAAAGTCACGGTTAAGTGAGAAAATCGGTAATTTGCATATTTTGATGGCTTTTTCCAACATTTTAAGCTACAAACCAAATCTAAAAGAGCAGCAGGTCATTAGTAACACAATACGTTCTTTGTTTAGGGTCATTCAGTGAATTAGTTTATAATGTAAAAGTGTAAATGTTTGTAGCACCACTAAACATCGGTCATTGTTCGTACTATGCTACAAAAAGAAATATACTTGTACAGTAGTTTGTTTCAAAAACTGTGGTACTGATTTTAATGATAACTTTGGAGTTTGAGGCTCGTTTGATGAAAAGACTGTAGATTGTATATGTAAAGTGTAGCAGCACCGAGTGTTGGAGACATTTTGTGTAAATAAGAATTTACTTAAATAGTAGTTTGTTGTAGAAGATGTAGTATTTAAACAGCAAGTTCTCTGTGGGCTAAAGTCTAATTTTCACATTATGATTACTGAAATTCATTTTTGTGTTTTGTGTAATAGTTTTTGCACTTGAGCAAAAGTAAAGAAATTAAAGTCAATTCAGTTAACTTGGATATATTTTCACGGATATTTGTTACTGGTTATTTTCAGTAGATAAACATTCCCTACCTTCTGTGCAAGTTTGTAACACGATGTTTTATGTTGACCTCACTCTTTCTTCCAGAGGAAACGAAAACTTCCGTCACCTCCGCCGTTAGATGATGAAGACAGCAAAAAGCCGGATGAATCAGGTCGGGCTCTAGTTTTTATAATTCTTTTTGTTTATTAGTCTTCACATTAAAAAAAAATTATAAATTTTTCATGATCATTTGCCCCCCCCCCCCCCAGTAGCGCAAATGGTATGTCTGCGGACTTACAACGCTATAAACCGAGTTTCGATACGACTGTGGTGGGCAGAGCACAGATGGCCCATTGTGTAGCTTTGTGTGTAACTACAAACAAACGTCATGATCATTTTTTATTTGGCTAAATAGATCAAGTGAAGTTTTACCACTTTTGTCATCAGAACAAAATCAAATGTTTCAATCCAAAAACTTCTGTTCATGATGTTGTTTTTAAGAAGAAGACAAAATTCCAGACCAAGTGCAGATGACAGATGTAGAATTTGCTAATGGGAGAATGATGATGTGAAACAGATTTTCTGTAATAGGTAACCATGATCAAATTTTAGCTCAAAACTCGCTGTAATAGGTAACCATGATCAAATTTTAGCCCAAAACTCGCTGTAATAGATAACCATGATCAAATTTTAGCCCAAAACTCGCTGTAATAGATAACCATAATCATGTTTTTAGCCCAAAACTTGCTGTAATAGGTAACCACGATCACATTTTAGCCCAAAACTTGCTGTAATAGGTAACCACGATCACATTTTAGCCCAAAACTTGCTGTAATAGGTAACCACGATCACATTTTAGCCCAAAATTTGCTGTAATAGGTAACCATGATCACATTTTAGCCCAAAACCTGCTAAACAAATGAAAACATAAAATCTAATTTAACCCTTTGACTATGGCTGGGAAATGTACATCGCAGCCGTAGTGAATGGACTAAGCAAACTGTTTGAGTTGTGGCCAGGCCTTGCTGAACTCGATGATATAAAACATCCTCTCAAGTAGCATGAAATGATTGAAATTTCTTTAGTTTACTTGACCAAATATTGATCATATTCAAACTTTTCAACACCCCTACCACCACATACACAAAAAAAAACAAGAGAGAGAGAGAGAAAGTGATTGACAATTCTTGATCTCTGCTTTTGTTATTCCACTTTTGGACCACTAGTAGAGCTTTAATATATATTGTTTTAATGGTAGCATATTTTTTGCTTTGGAGTTTTAACACTTTCGGTAGAGTTGAACACGTCGGCTATAGCTGTCAAGGAAAGCAAAAACTCGCGAAGGAATACTTTTCAAAGTTATTTTTTTACTAATATGCCTCAGTTGGTCAAATCAATTCAGTAATATACATAAAATTAAAATGTACATTTGTCATGATTGTTAAAGAATGTTTTTCAAAAGGAAGTTTCTGGAACATGCTTTACAATCACAAACAATAGAAGGTTTATAATTTTTGTATTATAAGTAAATAAATGTAAATTATTGTGCTCGGACTTTGACAGGGGACTTCGGAAGACCTCTATATAAGTATCACAAAAATAAGCAGTCTAAGAAAGAACTTGATCCTTGAAAGCTGGTTTACATTTTGTGAATCAGACAACTCTATAAGACCTCTATATAAGTATCACAAAAATAAGCAGTCTAAGAAAGAACTTGATCCTTGAAAGCTGGTTTACATTTTGTGAATCAGACAACTCTATAAGACCTCTATATAAGTATCACAAAAATAAGCAGTCTAAGAAAGAACTTGATCCTTGAAAGCTGGTTTACATTTTGTGAATCAGACAACTCTATTTTTAAAATACTCGTGCAATCCTTTCTTTTTTTTTCTGTGTATTTACGTTTACCGAGATAATAAAACGTTCATGTTGACATGAATAGACTTTATTTATTTGTTTTGACTAGTTATTCTTGCAATGTAAGGATTAATGCTAAGGTATCCATTGATGGATCAGTGGTAAGTTGATGGACTTATAACTGTTAAATCTGACGTGTGATTTCATGTAGTGGACAGCTTAGGTAATCCATTGGATAGCTTATGCTAAAAGAATATATGTATGTATGTGTGTATATATATATATATATATATATATAC